CCCCCCCCACCAGAGAGACCGGAAAGGACGAACAACAACAGCCCCAGAGACCGGCGGCAAGGTATCCGGAGAAAAGGGCCAGTCGAGGAACACTGGTGGTATCAGGGCACTTGCCCCGCCCGAGCCACACAGGACAACCGCCCCGGCGGTGATGCGGTCCTTGGCCAAACTTGCCCCGAGGGCGAGTGTCCCATCTCACCTCGACGCCTCATCTGGGGTTGGTGCACAAATTTTGGGGCCCCGATAACCCGCATCGTGCGCCCCCCCCCCCCCGGCCACCCTCCAGCCCCGGCTGTGATCGGCCGGTGGGAAGTGCCGCAAGTGAGGCCTCCCCGGCGGCCGCCGGCAGAGGGCAGGAGAGACTTGGAGGCGGGAGGCCCCGCTCGGACCGCGAAGTCTGGCTTCCCGTCGGTATTGGGCCTTCGGGTGGGAGAATCTCGCTCCGGTTCGTCCGGGCACTGTCCCCCAGGACGGGTTTTCCGGGATTGGGCCGGCCACCGGATGTGACGCCCTCCTCCACGGGAATATGGCACTGGGGGTGGGTGTTAATAGGGGGGATCTCCCTCTCCCTCTCGCCGGCGTGGGCCATCAAACACAGGGCCCGGTGAGAATGGCCCGCGTCGGGGGGGCGGGAGGCGAGAGAAGCGTCGCGAAACCCGAGCGCGGGGAAAAACGTTCACATCCCCCCGCTCTCAAGCCCCTTGCTCCCCCTCCTCCCCCCCGGGGGAGAAGGGGAGGGGCGAGACGGGGGCCAGTCATGTCAGCACCTCTCACACTCTCTCATAAGCCGCGACAGAAAGCATGTCCCCGGACACGCCCGGCCGGGGCGCCCCACAAAAATGATCTCCCCTGCGCGAGGGTACAGATCACCCCCCGGCCCTGTCTCCCATGGCTGCGGCAGGCGCCCGAGCGCAGTTCTCGACCCGGGGGGGGGGGGCGGGCGACCAGTCGCTGGCACTTCCTCACTGTACAGTCCAAAGCAGGGCAAGGGATATATATCTGTGGCCCGGAATATATATTATATATCATTGCTCAGTCGACGAGGAACACACATCCTCTTTCTCCCCCCACCCGATCCCCCCCCCGGCCCCCGGTCCACGCCCTAAAGAGCGCGCAGGGCCCCTGGCTGCCGGCGAGGGGACACTTCTTGGGCCGATTGTGCGTGTGTATGAGGTCTGTAGTGTGATGCTCGGGGCGGGATCATCCTGCCTGTTGTCAGAACCCCAGGCGACTCTTTCCGAGGGGAGGCGGGCTTTTTGTCGGCCCGGATGTGCTCGGCGCTCGGCCAATGGCCAGCCGGGCCCTGGAGTCGTCACTCCCGTGACGATACCCCGTGAAAACACTCCAGAATGACAATCAATGCTATTTGATAAGCAAGTTAAGTTCTGAAAGGGAAGTCGGCCGCTCGTGAGATCTGATCCCCCTCCCCCCCCTCCCTCCTCTCCTGAAAGTGTGCCCGGTGAAATGGCCCCCAGCAGCCGCAGGGAGCCTGCATTCGCAATCAAAAAACGGCCGGCTCCTTGTCCAAAGTAGGCCAAACGCGTGGGCATGGATCAATGCCGGAGGTGAAGGGTGCGGAAAGGGGGGGGGGGGGGGGGGGGGGGGGGTGTCTCTTACAAAGGAAGGGTATATTTGGCCGGCATGGGGAGAGGCACCGAGCGCGTGGCCACGCGCTCGCGGGCCGGCAGGAGGATGCCCAATCTCTGACAGAGGGCCTCATCCCGGCCCCTCGCCCCAGCTCGAGCCTTTTCTACGGAGTTGGGCAAGGAAGGGAGGAGGGGGCACCGGGGGAAGGGACATGTGTCTCTGCTCGAGGGCATCCTCCTGCCGAAGGGCGAGAGGATGGTGGCAGGCTCATGTGCCCCAGGCCCAGGCCCCCCTCCCGGGGAAGAGGGGCGGGGATCAGTCTGTCCTCATGCGCTTGATGAAGAGGCCGCCACCGAAACCACGCGCCGGTGAGGGCCCATCGCCGGCAGGTCCTCCTCCGCGGCCGCCTCCCCCGGCACCGCCGGACATGGTCCGTAGCCGCGATGTCGAGGAGGGCGGCATTCCCCCCGATGGGGAGGACCCACCATCGGGATGGAGATCGCGCGTGGTGATGGCAAATTCCTGGCCAAAGGAGTCGGCGCCGCCGCCCGGTGGAAGAGCTCCCCCACCGATGCCACCATATGACGAGGAGTCCTGCTTGATGAACTGGGACCCCGGGCCACCGGGCAGGGATCCCCCCCCGGCGGCGCCGGTGCCACCGCCGGCCCCCATGCTGAAGAGCCCCTGGAGGACTTCGTAGTTGATCTTGGTGGAGACCTTCTTGCTGAGGGCGCCCAGGGTGGCGCGGGCCGCTTCACGACCGTCGGTCCCCTCATCGCCGGTGCTCCCGGGGGCCGTGCGTTTGCGACGATTGCGCCTGGACGAGGCGGTCGGGGCCTTGATCACCCCCTCGGCGATGAGGCGCTGCTTCTCGGCCTGCTGGGTCAGGTAGTCCCGGTTCATATCGGTCCAGAGGTCCGCCTTCATGCGCTGCTCCTCCGGCGACAGGAGAGCCAGCTGGAGCTCGTCATCGGCATCGAGGATGGCCGCCGCGGCGACCGGGTCATCCGGCAAGGAGAAGTCCCGTGTGGCCTTGAGTGTGGGCGATGGCCCCGGGGTCGGGCTCTTCGGCTGTGATGAAGCTGTGGGGATGGCGTGCAGTGCCGGAGGACAGTGCCGAAGGGTGCCAAGCGGGAGGAGCATCCGTCGAGGGTCAAAATGTGTGGGCGAGGAGGAGGCGGCTGGTTGAAGGGGGTCCTTTTTTGCCCCCTCCCCCCCTCGACTGAGCCGAGCCCTCGGGGGATGTTCGCGAGGAAGAAGCCAAAAAGGATGGCCCAAAGCATGTCCATGCATTGACGCACCACTGGGGAGAGCCGGTGATCCTGGTTGCGATGGGTCCGGCGTGGTGCTGAGATCCTCATCGGAAAAGCCGGACTCGGTAAGGAGCTTCTCCAATTCGCGGCCGCCTTCCTCAATCTCTTGAAGTTGCTCGAGCGAGGGGCTCCGCGTGGCGGCCGCCTGCTCGGCGGCATCCCGATTGACAGCGGCCTCGGCCACCAAACGCGCGCGCTTGGCTGCCGTGAAGGAGGGCGGATCGGCCTCGCCCTCCATGTCGATGGATTCGAATTCCTCCGGCGTCAAGAGCACGGCCGGGGTCTCGCTGAACTCGGAGAGACTGTCCCCGGTGGTCCGAGTGACAGCCAGGACGGCGGCCGAGGGGGGGGGGGGGGGGGG